GCACAGCAAGCAGCTGCAAATGCTTATTCTTGTTCTAGCCTCAATCTGGATAACCTGCACAGTACCTTCTTTCTACTCAGGGTAGCAAAGTCTATGCAGAAAATCAGTATGCAGTAGGACGAGTCTCTCTGCACTTCCCACTGATGCAGGGAAACAGGGAGACAGTCCTAAGCCAGCTTTCATTTAGTGAAGAGGAAAAAGAAAGTGCAGGGAACTTGCCAGTATGTCTTTCTCCAAGTTTCCTCAACTCTGTGGAACTATGCTGGTCTCAGGTGAGCCCCACTGTACACCTCCCTAGAATCCCCTCTCAACAGCAGGTAGGACAGTTTTGGCATTGGTTTAGAATAGCCCTGAGGCTCCACAGTGAAGGAGGATGATGCACCAATTCAGCCCTTATTCTTTGAAGAGCAAAGCCTTTTGGTAAACAAGTGCCCCAGCACTGCCCTGAACTCTGCCTGCCCTCATTTCCCACCAGAGCGAACAGAAAGTGAGACAAAAAGCACATGGTGAGGCAGAATGTACCAGCAGGCTCTTTCCTCCAGGCTCCCATCCAACAGGAGAGGTTAAGGCAGAACAAACAGAGCACTCTTGTCACTGCTGACACTCCTTCTACTTCCCTCTCTACCTGAAAGACTCTAAAGCCCTTCATCCTACACTGCACACAGAGAAGGTGGCCCCTTGTCACCTGCTTGGTGACTTCCTCAGCTCACTGAGCAGCTCTGCTCCCACTCTGGCCTTAGAGCAGCACTATCTCACCTCACTTCCCCCATAACCACCTTCCCAACCTCTCCTTGCCTGCTCCTTCTCCAAAAGAAGGGATTAACTGGCAAGGCTCAGAGACCCAAAGACCATTCCAAAAACAAACCCAGGGAATGGACAGTAGCACAAATGTTGCCAGAAGGATTTGTAGATGACTTGTGCCCAAGTCCCCTAAATATCCAGGGGATAGCAGCTTTGCAGTGTTCTGCAAGACCATGTACTGGTTTCGTAAGAATGGTTTAGTGGAGACAGGGTCAAATGCCTCTGAGAGATCAATGTAAATCCAGACACTCCAAACTCAAAATACAGCCACAGACAGTGACAGGCTACAGGGGCACATTGCCTAAGCAGGGCATGGAGAGGTGATAGCGTCCCTGGTGCCTAGGAAGGAATTTCAGAGTACATTAAGGGGTTCAAATGGACATGAGAGATCATCCAGTGCCAACACCCTGCCCCAGGCAGGGACACATCCCACCAGAACAGGCTGCTCAAGGCTTTATCTAACCTGGCTTTGAACACTGCCAGGGTTGGGGCAGCCACAGCCTCCCTGGGCAACCTGTGCCAGTGTCTCACCACCCTCACAGGGAAAATTTCTGCCTAATATCTCACCTAGATTTCCACCTTTCCATTTCTCCCCACTGCCCCTTGTCCTGTCCCTGCAGTTCCTAACCCAGAGTCCCTCTGCAGCTTCCCTGGAGCCCCTTCAGCTCCTGGCAGGTTGCTCTGAGCTCTCCACACAACCTTCTCTTCTCCAGGCTGAACAGCCCCAACCTTCTCATAGGGAAGGTGCTCCTGTCCTCTTATCAGCTTTGGATAAGTCCTCTGGACTTGTTCCAACAGTTCCACGTCCCCCTGATGCTGGGGACACCAGAACTGTGTGCAGTGCAGGAATTCCATGGGGCAGGAATTCATACCTTTCTTGCGACACACTTTGCATCTGGCATTCTCTGCTGACATATCCCACTTGATACAGGCATCCAACATCCCCAGCAGCACATGCATCCGGGAGAAGGTCTGGGCCTCACGGATTGCTGTCTTCCACTTCTCCGTGGCTGAAGCAACCTGCAGACAGACCTAAGAGCTTACAACAGAGCACACACACACACAGTCTGACCATGCTTTTATATCCTTTAGTCAAGGCCCTTCATAACCAAAGCTCAACTCTATTTCTTTTATTCCATGTCACCTCGGCAGTCCTGGTTGTGGTTTATCCATATCCAGTTCTCCTGGATCAGACAGTTTGTTCATAACAGTTGATCCCTTTTGGATTTCACAGCCAGGCTGAAACAACCTACATGAACTCCACCGAATTCTTGCTCTAAAAAGTCTAACCCAAACAATCAGCAAGCTAAGAAAATAAAAGAAAGGAATCTAGCACTGCAAAATGCAGGATCAAAGTAGGAGAACAGCTGGCAAACACACTGGAAGGAGGTGGATTGGAGCAGCCTGTGCTGCCCTCCAGTGGGTACTGCACAGGCACCTGAACATTAGCAACCAGGTCCTCATGGTCCTGAGCTGCTCAGGTGGCAGAGGAGATCCTATGCCAGCATCTACAATCACACTGGACAGGCATTTAGAGCCCCAAGCATGAAACCAGCTGCTCCCAAGACAGGATGACCTTGGCACATGTGAAATCCCAGAAGGAGCTGAGAGTGAGTGTCACAGCATCAAAGCTGAGCTGTGCACCAGGGCAGCTGTAGGGGCTGCACACAGCAAGGCCCATGGGAAAATTCACCCCCAGCTCATGCGGTCTGGAAACACAGGTTGTGGCAGATCGGAAATGCAGCAGGACAAAAGTGATCCAGAGCCATGTCCTACTCCAACTGGTAATCCTGTGCTCTGCAACAATGAGGTGATGGCCCAGACATGACAGGGATATAATAGGACTCAAGTTAATGTTCTTCTACCCCAGGAGAATGAAAAAACAAACAGTGAAGTGTCAGATGGGAAAATCTGAACTCTGCAGCTGACAGCAGTTTGGGAGCCAAACAAAACCCGGGAGTTTTGCAGAGTTGCACATTCTCCTCTGACTGAATTTGAGGAAGCACAGCATATATTAGATGCTTGGAAAAACACACAAACTGTTCTGAAATGCCAACATCCTTGCTGCCACTGCTGGTGTGGAGCCTGAGCCATGGGAGACAAAGGGAAACCTGCCCAGCCCAGTGCTGAGGTTACACACACCGTGAGCTATTTCTCTGCAGAACATTGTTGAGGTGCTTCACATACTGTGTAATTGATTTTCCAAGGAACTGTTCCATGGGTTTTGCTGTTAACACACTGGGTAACTGCTGGGCCAAGATAAATCTGCAAAAACTGTTGGCAAGTTTTGCTCAGATATTTCTCTTCAAGTCTGTGGAATTTAACAGATTTCCAGTCCTGCTTCCCAAGCATCAGGAGACTGTGGCATTTGAGCAGGACTGGTATCATGGGAGTTCTGGCTGCCAACTAGGCAAAATGGGAGACTGGAAGAAGTTACTTAAATGCCCTCCTGACAGGAGAGGAGCAATCTAGCAGGGAAAACAAAAACAACCCCCAAACACTAAAGGAGAAGTCACCAGTCACATGTCACCCTGAGAGTGATGCCTACTGTGGTAAAGGTGGACAAGCCTCCAGCTAGGAAGGCTCTCATCTGGCATTCTGAGCTGACAGAAAACCCTTGGAAGAGCTGCAACTGGAATGGCTTGGTTTTGAAGGTGCTCCTTGAAGGATTGTCAGGTGCAGACTGACGCTCCTCTTGAACCCACTGCTGAAAGCAGGTCACAGGGGTGATAACCCACTCATGCTCCTCATTCTGCTCAGGCAGTTGTGCTGCAATGTCACACTGCAAAGAGGTCACACATTCCCTACCCTATTCTGGGACAGCCCAGTGTGCTACTGCCACTGGAAATGGCAATGTTTGCATCAGAGGCACCAGACTGATTTTTAGGAGCAGCCATAAGCCAGGTCTCACTACAGTCCTTTGCCACTCAGCAGTGTGAGCTCCAGAGCTGCAGCTGAGCCAGCAGGAACCCTTCACACAGACAATCATGTCAGCAAACGGGTGCCTGCTAAGCCGTAACTTGTTTCTCACAGGGAAAATGAGACATAGCCATACCACAGGGCTGCAATTCCACTTCTATAGTCTGGAAGTACATTAAGTGTGTTTTTCCAGTGTGGCTGTGCTGTATTTTACCTGCTATGTGTTTTCAGTGCAGTTCTGGCTCAAAAGGCTTCAGAATTCTTGGCCTACACAGGAAATTTGTCTTTAGACTAGCCTGCCTAGCAGTCAGGGGTTTGCATCACACACCTGTATCTGAGAACTGTGCTGCTCCTTCAAAGTCATCTCTAAGGGTTTGCTGCTCTGGCAAACAAAGCTCATTCCAGATAAATTGGGCCAGGGACACCTTCCACTAGCCCAGGCTGTTCCAAGCCCCATCAAACCTAGCCTGGGACACTGTCAGGGATGGGGCAGCCACAGTTTCTCTGGGCAACCTGTGCCAATGCCTCATCACCTTCACAGGGAACAATTCCTTCCATCTAGCCCTGCCCTCTGGCAGTGGGAAGCCATTCTCCCTTGTCCTATCACTCCAGGCCCTTGTCAATAGTCTCTCTCCATCCTTCTTGTTAATCATCTAATTTCTTTAAGTTGGGAATTTTAAATGCTTCTGCTGAAGTCAGTGATCAGTCAGGACAGAGCCCTTTAAAAGGGACAGTGGGGAAAGTTTTGGTACAGAACATGAATGTCCCATTCAACTTAGTGCACAGAATCTACTGCTAAACACTAGTCCCCTCTTAGGGTGAAACACAGGTGCAGCTCAACTGCCTGCAGGACCTTTCTCAATCCTCCACAGCTCCTCTCCATTCCTTTGACTTGGAAGACTCTGGATTTAGACCCAAAATATCCCTTTTCTCCTGCAGGCACACACAGCTTGTTTGCCCAGACTTCTCCATTAATCCAGCTCATATCTCCTCTTGGCTAACTGTGGTATTTACCTGAACCTTGCAGTCACCAGAACCTCAACATGTGTCTCCTCCTCAGTGTGGGACCAAAGGAACTATCAGTCCTTGCTGACAGATATAACTCCTGCTAAGATCTGTAAAAATGCTCCATAATGTGCTTTGACTAAAGTAACTTATGCGAGGAACTGCACAGAGATAACTTGGCCCATTTCCTGTTCACAGAGAGAAAATGACCTTTAACTCCACAGTATGATTTGTATTTTGCCCATACCTTTACTTCTCAAAATAAACAGGGAACACCTGACCCCACAAACACCAAAGCCCCTGCACTCCAAACCTGACATAGGGAGAAGCTGCTCAGGATTGAGCACCCTGTGAAATGTACTAGTCCTGCTCAAAGAGTTCTATTACAAGACCAAAACAGACCCGTGAGGTGAACAATACCTTAGCTTCTTCTGCCATTTTCTTG